CTACCTCTCTACAGTTTGGAGCCTGTCAGCTTCAAAGCTCCTGGTAATCTCATCTTCATTTTTCAGCTAGTCTTGTTTTTTACTCTTCTCCCTCTTATCTCAATCTAGCAAAGGCTGAGTTCTGCCCTGCAGTCCTTGCCAGGTCACGATCTGTTACCTCTTCTCTCAAAACTGTAATATTTTTTGAAGTCTGAGTAAAGTTCATTTCTATCCCCAGATTAATCTCTTACCATTCTTGTCTCTTGCAACTATTCCTTCCTGCACTCTGACCCCATTATCCCAAGCTAAATGTCTTCTTTTCCAAATCACCATGTTGGTTTTGCCATCCATTTTCATTTCTCCTCTGTGCTCTGTACCTAACAACTATTTGAAACACTCACTAGTGGAAACATGGGTGTAGATGAGCCATACCATCTTTCACTCTATCTGTAGTTTTAAAAAATTGTATATATATTATTGTAAAGATATTGTATAGAGGAGTTACAGTTACATGAACAAGGTAATGAGTCCATTTCCTATCGAGCATTGTTACCCCCTTCTTTGTTTTTCCCCTACCATCCCTTTCATCCTTATCTCCCCAATTCCTCCCTCCCTCCTCTCCCAAGTTGTAAAGTTAATTTTCAACATAGTGTCTTGTACATCTTATGCTACAATGGGTCATCCTATATGAACCCCAAGATAGGGACACAGAGATTTTATCTTTCTTGCTGTTCTTTTTAATGTACTTATAATGTACTATGTGATTTTTTTTCTTTGTATGTTCTTCCCCCATGGTATAATCCCTGTTGTCACTGTCTTTGATTCTGGTGTACTGCATCTTGTATATACATTTTTTCTAATTTGGGGAGGGGAAGGAAAATAACAAAATGCTGAAATAAGGATACAAGATGAACCATTGTAACAATGAGATGGACAAGACAGTATGTTAGTTGTTTTCTCATGGAGACTTTTCCGCCCAGGATGGCTTCAAATCTCGATCCTCAGATCTCAGCTTCCTCAGTAGCTAGGATTACAGGCATGAGCCACAGGTATCTGGCTCTTAAGTTAGATTTATTTATGTAGAATTCATGTATATCAAAATTCAGGCTTTTGAAGTGCAAATTTTGGCCAGACTTGATGAATACACAGAGTTGTGCAACTCACCACTACAATAAAAAGAGAGTCCATTTCTATCACCCCCCTTAACACCATGACTAGCTTTTCAAATGAAAGTTCTTTCCTTGCTCAAATAAGCTAGAAAATAGTTGAATACTTAGGGTATTCACTTAAGGGTATCTACTTACCCTTTGCTATACTAGTTTTTCCAACTTCTTTTCTTGAGCTAAACCTGTGGAATACTAGTATCAACTTGATGGGAGGAAAGGACATCAGATGCAAGTCTGATAGGATTGTAGTTGTTAAATATAAATTACCGAAAGAAACATCCCCCAAAATGTTGACTATGGAAGCAGAAAACTGGAGATAAACTTCCCAATAGGCTTTTATGATGTCTATTTTCTATTTTCCTCAAAAACTACTGAATAAATTCTATGTACCTGTTACCTATTAAGCATTAGAATCTGGTTCAGTCGTATGTATTAATCTAAACCTTAAAGATCCATCTGTTGAAACAAGGAAACTGCTTATTTAGATGCTAGTTCAAAAAGAAGAAAGGGTATGCCCTTTCTTGGTAAATCTTACAAAATATTGTTTGATTGTTTTGGTCATGTATAGCATTAGAAGCAAGCATAACATTTATTTAATTTTATTACACAAAAACCATGTAAATATGCATCTGACAGTCTCCTAGCTAAACCAGAAATGTACACTGAAGCCATCAGTTCAAATAGACTGTCACCAAGTGCCAATCAGTGTTAAGATACCCTGGAAGAGTATCTGAAGTAACAAAATATCAGTCCAAAGATCAGGGGCCTTATAGGATGAGTGTACCTGGTTGTGGCACTTTCAAAAAGACTCATTAAGGAAAAAGGAAAATCAAGGTCTGTGTTACAAAGATATCAAAATTAATCATCTTCAGCATAAAAGTAATAGAACCTGCATTTGATCCAAATTCTGGAAATCACAAATGGCATATAAACTTGTTCCCTAAATTCAGAGAACTAGAAGACTAGAATGTATAATTCCTAAGAAGTAAATTCCCAATAAATATAAGATAAACATAAAAACAATGAATTCAAACATATAAAGTTCATTACTTCTAAGATATGAAAAAAACTTAAACGTGTAAACATGAAGCTATGAAGGCTTCAAAAATGTCAGAGTTCCTAGATCAACAATCCTAGTTAGTGTGAGGACTAACAAAAGGCAGAATCCAGGGGCTGAGTCAAAATGCAAAGGTTTCCAAAATTTTTGGAGTGAATTATTCGGCAGCTAAGCTTCCTCCTTTTGGATGTCAGAGCTCTCTTTTAGAGGCAGCTGAATAACAATTTAAAATGTGACCTCTAAAAACCCTCTGAATACTGCTTTTGGACCAAGATATAATTAAGTTTCAGAAAAGGTTGTGCATTTGAGTGGTTTGGACGAAGTTCCAAAGACAAATAAACTATTTCCCAGAGCATGGTGTTGGGGAATCACATCATGAGGCTAGAAATGGCAGGATCCCTGAGAACAGCTGACTGTGAACATGAGTTTTTGGCTCTGTTTAGTCATGTAACTTCAGTAGGCCACTTTGCGGGTTGATACATCTGCCTTTATTTTGGTGAGGCTGGGGAAGAATTAGACAAGAAGATACTGTTCAAATTCCTCCCATCCATATAATTGCTATGGTGCAATTTGCCATCTTTAGAACACACACATACAAACTAAAGAAATAAATTTCTTTAATTACTTCCTAAATGACTGTTGAAAAAATGGCATTGATGTTTAAGTTCAAATATACTTCTTATAAGTATTCTCAGAGGTATTCATTCTCTCCTGGACAGGAAGTGGGCAACTACAGTACCCTGATCTTGTGGTGCTGGCTTCTGATTATTCACCATCACATTTCTCTTCTCAGCCTAGTTTGCCGTTCTTCAGATCTCACAACTCCTATTCACTCATGAGAATCTACCTTGATACACTGCTCTTCTAGCCACTGACTCCTTGTATTCGGAGTGTTTCTGAGTACTCTGGGCTGTGCTGACCACTACTAGAGTGCTCGTAACAAAGTGAAATGACCACTGAGCTGGTGATACACTTCCCCTCCTAAAAATTCTTGAGAACACAAACCATACTATATTTACCTTTCAAATAATTGAGCCTCATAAATACTATGTGCTCAATGAATATTGCTGAATACAATTACATTTTTAAATACAGTTAAGTCACCATGTACGCTAAAGTGATATTAATTTTGAGGCCCCAAATCCTCTGCACTTTGTTATGGGCTGAATCATGTCCTGCCTGCCAATTCATACAATGAAGTTCTGGCCCCTAAAATATCCCAGCAGGTGACTGCATTTTTAGATAGCGTCTTTATAAAAAGTTAACTGCAGTGAGGTGAGATTGGAATAGACCTATCCTCATATGGAGAAATTAGGACACAAACCTTCATTCATAGAAGGCAGCCACCCACAAGCTGAAAGATCTCAGAGACCAAGCCTACAGAAACCTTTAGCATAGAGAACTAGAGAACTAATACAGGCTGAAAATCCTATTCTGTATATAACAACACTTTTAACAGAAAAGTAATATATTCATAAAAGCATGCACACTTAGCTACATATTGCTAAGTAGACAGTCTGTTAGATTTCTTTCTTGGCAGACTGTTCTGGCATGATTTAAATGGTACATTTCTGTAGAGAAGGCAGGACTTACTTCCATTTTGGCATCTTGCCATGCACTAAAACCCAGAATATTTACTGGAATTTAAAAAGGGGAGAAAAAAGGGAGGGGTGGGGATCCATACCACCTGGTCATACACCAAAGCCTGTTTTACTAGAGGAGAGTACAGCTTCAGCTTTTCAACCTTTTGCCCAGCAAAATCTAGAAACCTTCTCAAGGCTTCTGAACAGATAGACACCTATACAGAAGGCTTAGGCCTTGATCCTCTGACCTCACCTTTCTCTTAAGTCTCCTTGGAGACTTAAAGTACAAGTATTCCAAGTGAAAAAATGACAATGTGAGCCTTGCAACCTTTTGCCCTAAGCTGCCATCCCCTACCCAATTCCTACTAAGATCCCTACTCCGAGCTATAATATAAGCCACAGTTCATTATTACAGTGACAACTTCAGGACTGCCTCAAAAGTCTCAGAAGAAGCTCCTCCAACCATCAAAGTGAGACAGACACATTGCCAGCTGTGCTGACTGCATAGGAACTTATAAAAATCCATCTACCTTGAGTCAAAAATAGCCAGAGGGCCAGACCAGCACCAATCAGAAGAAAACCAGTAATCTCAGGAATGAGTCCATGGGAACAAAGGAATAATATGAGACAGAGTGAAAAGGAAACAGGGATACAAAAGTACACACATCCAGGCACTACCCAAAGAAGACACTGAGTCACAGAGGAAATTTGAGATTGTATATTTGCTCTGGAGAGAGTATCTCAGTTTACTAATTGTTCTAGAGGACAATCCTATCTAAGCCCTAGAGAAATAGCTACAATGGTCAAGGCTCTAACACAAAGAAATGACATTTTAATGCTTCGACTACTTACTCCCATTTCAACAAACCTGAATTTTACGCAGGATTAAAAAAAAAGACAATTTTCTTTGGGTTTAATGACATTGGGAACAAAAGCTTCAAATTAGGCTGGTTCTAAAACCTGGAACCAGCTCTACTCACTAGCAGTATGATATTAGGCAGGTCAATCTGGCCTCAAGGTATAAAGTGTTTCCTCATTTATGAAATGGGTAAAACTAGTACTTCCCTCATAGGGCAGTTAGAAAGCTAAAATATTACTTCTGAAGCACACAGAACAAATACCTTATTTGGAAAATATGAGCAAGTGTTAGCTACATACATACAATGGGAGAGATTTTCCCCCTACAAACACTAGTTTCCAGGTGAAGCAACATACCTTGACTTTGCAGTTTTCTATCAAATGCTGAGCCATGGATTTTATCAGCACATCAAAGAAAAACCAAGAATACTAAAAGAAAAGAATAAAAAAGGACCCCAGTAAGAAAAACAGCAAATTAGTAGGTAAGAGGGGAATTTTCTTTGGTTGACCATGTAATTAGCTAAAAGTAGGTGTGACATACAAAACAGATGAACCTTCTTGCAAACTTAACATCAGACTCAAGAGGTGGGTGGCCACGTTTTCTATTCAAACCAGAAATGACCCTTGCTGGGAAACTAGATACCTATCAACAAGAGGCACTGAAGTCTTTCCTCTTTGCTGATCATCTGGCTTGATGATATTTGTCCTAATAATCTAAATCAGGATCCCCTACTGATGTGAATATAATGATTTATAGTTAAGAGCCAATGTGATTTTGAACATGGTGATTCTTTGCAGCTCCTATCTGAAGTTACAATAGTCAGAGTTGAAACTGGAGCATTAATTCAGTTGCTGCTTTTGGGGGGAGGAGCAATGATCTCTTCAAGGTACATAAAAGGTGAACTCTTCTGACTGCCAACTTTAATTTTCATTAATCAGTTTTTAAAAATTAATTTTATTTTGAGGCAAGGTCTCTCTATGGCTGATCTTGAACCAGGGAACCTAAGTAATCTTCCTGCTTCAGCATATTGAGTAATTGAGACTATAAGCTTGTGCCAACATGCTAAATCCTTCATTTATTTCTTAACTGATAGATAAAACCATGAAAGTTCTATATTATTGGGGTAATATGTAATGTTTTGATATATATGATATACATATTGTATGGTGTTTAACTCAGGTTATACATATCTATCTCAATTTTTTTTTATCACTTTTTGGTAAGAAAAACATAAAATTCTCCCTTCTAGAAAGAAATGTATTATACATTATTTTTTCTATAGTCATCCTACCTTGCAACATCATACCAGAACTTCTTGCTTCTAACAATAACTTAGTATCTACTGACCAATTCTTCTACTACCAACCCGCTTACCCCCATATAAGCAAGTTTGTTGTTTTAGGGAAGTGTTCTGATAAAACCCAGGAAACTCATACATGTTAAGTAAGTACTCTGCCAGGGAGCTACAGCCCTTCTACCACCACCTCCTGGCCTTAGTTAATCAAATTTAACACTGAAGAGTTAGGCTATCTAGCCTGACATACCTTCAGTAGTTTGTTGCTGGTAAGGAAGTCAGCAGAAGGCTTGAGAATGGTGGTCATGGATTTGGTTAGTTCTTCATGCACTGTCTTATATTCAGAGGCAATATATGGCTCAGCCTTATAAGCATACTTTGAAAAAAAGAGAAAGAGACTTTACTATGCTGGTTCTCTAAATTGGGCTAAAAGCTTGAGAGGTGCTAAAGAGTTGAGATCAAGGACTGAGGTATGATTTCACGGGTGGGAGAGGAAGGGATGAAAACAAAGGTGGGAGGTGATTGTTATGTGGCACAAAGAGGGAGCTCTAGTCTTCAGGGAACCCTTTAAAATAGTGAGTCATGTGACTCATGTCAGTGGTCACCTAGCCCATAATTCCATCTACAAAGGGACTTCAAGGAATGTGTAACATAGCACTGGTAACTGAGGTCCTGAAGAATCCAAATTTTATTTTTTAAATGATCACATAGCTGTTCTTCACCCGGGTATCTTTTTAGAGCAGTAACTTCACTATGATTATTGAATATTACATATAAAGAACCTGTTGAAATTTCTCCTTAATAGACTCTCTTTTTACCCACACATAGTATATAATATGTCACTGAATAGTGGTCAGAGTTCATAATCTTATATTGAGAATGATTCTGCTGATAATTTTAGATGGAGAAAAGAAAAACAGAGATTACTAACTCTATTAGAAATATAGCCAAGAATAAATAAAAATCTTTAACTTCTTTGTCATTTGAATCACATTAGTAGTTCAAAGGATGAAATTAAGTGAATAAAGGAATGGTTGTTTCTCCTCATATTTCCCCTTGTTCAGATACAAGCACTGGTGATAAGCAGAGAAGAGAAGGCATAGGTCTTAAGTTCCAAGAACATCCAAAATAACCAGCCTTGTAAAAAATAAGTCCTTAGAAGGAAAATTGGAGAGCCACAGATGTAAATGACTGGAACATTTTTGTTTGTTTGTTTGTTTACGTACCTTAACATATGACCTCAAGTGGCTCTCCAATCCTTCCTCATGGCACTGGGCAACCACATGAATAATGACCCTACACACCACAGAAATGAATAAAGCAATGAATAGTAATGTGAAAATGGAAACATTTCATTATTATCACAGCAGCAGTAGAACAATGATGATGCTATTGGCACTTAGGAAACAGAGACAAGGAACTAGATGGGGTTCCTATATATGGGTTCAAAAGACATTTCTCCAATATAATGTTCAGCATGTACTAGCATCCCAGATATGCATGACTGTGCTCCAGATGTAGACAGATTGGAAAGGAAGAAGAATATCTATCCATCTGCCTCCCTTACCGAGTCACATTAACTGCAACTTCCTCCTGGGTGGCTCTGGTAAGGACTCGAAACAGCTGGTTTAGGATGGTAGGCAGGAAGGCGATCATCACATGGCCTTCCATTGCATGTAGACTCTACACACAAGAAATGGGGATGATGTGTTACCATTGAACTCCTGGGTACAGGTTATCCTTCCCACTCAAGCTCCTAAGTAGCTGGAACTATGGGTACAAGCCACCATTTTCAGCTAGTTTATCTTTTTAAATTAAACAAATTCGGTAGTCTCCACGAAGTTTCAAGTTAGGATGAAAGAATTCACTAAAGCAAATGGGAGGCTGGAAATAGGCAGAAAGGCCTCCACAAATGTTCAAGTCCTAATCTTCAGAGCTCGTGACATAGCACCTGGAGTTAGGGTTTATATTGCTAATTTCTTACCCTTAAGGTAAGGGATTAGGTGGGCCAATGTAGTCATAAAAATTCTTAAAACTGGAGCAGAGAAGCAGAAGAGGAATAAGACTCAAGTTGTAACCAAGCAAGAGTGGACAAAGATGCCACAGTACTATCACTGAGATGGATGTAGGGTCTTAAACCATCTCATAATTAGTATCTTTTTTGAGAATATATTAATTTTTTCTGTTCTTTCTCATATTTCGTATTTTATTCCATGCCAAGGATCCCATTTAGCTACTTTCCCATTTCAAAATATTCCCCCATAATCACATTGGATCCAAGCTCACACATAAACCCTATTCTGTTCTTGAATGGTGACTCCAGGAACTGCCCAATTCCTGCACAAAGCTGAAACTGGCTAGGTTTATTTTCTTTGATTTATTCACCTTGCTTGCAGGCATCAAGAATATATTATCTCTTACAATGACTGCTATGATTTGATATGTCCCTCAAAGAGCATGTGCTGGAAACTTAACTACAATTAAGTTAGGATTGGGAGGTGGGGTCTAATAAGAGGTGATCAAGCCACAGCGCTCTGCATTATAAGTGGATTAAAAATGTTACTGGTAAAGTGCTTTTTGGAAAAAAAATGGTAGAAATAGGTTCCTTATAAAAAGATGAATTTGGCCCTCCCTCTCTTCTTCTCTTCCCTTTCCCCCTTTCTCTTGCATTTCAATATGAATAACACAGTAAGGCGACCCTCTGCAGTGGAACTTCTTAATCTGAGAACTGTAAGGAAGCATATTTCTTCTTTATAAATTACCCAGTCTCAGGATTATTGTTACAGCAACACAAAATCTACTTCTCACAACTATTTAAAACCACATAAAACTAACTATGTGATGACATCCAGGTAAGGGTATCCCTACAGAAGTGTCCGAGAGGCAGGAACAACCCTCACCACTAAACAGAAAACTGAATGTACTCCATACTCATTAAAATAAAGGGCTATTAAGAAAGCTATCTGATACCTTAAGATATTTTACAAGTTCATTTCCTAAGGCTTGAGCTCCAGATTCAGTTTTCTGACAGTACTGGAAAAAATTATGTAAATGTTGATCCTATAGTGAAGGAGGAAAAAAAAGAAAGTATTATTATATATATTACAGAAATAGGAATACTTGCTTCTTGTGTAAGCACATCTGGTTTTTAAGATCATAGAATTAATCATATAAAATGAAAACAACAAGAATCCTCCAAGAATGAACTCTTTACTTTCTATACACAAACAAAAAAAAAATCAAAGATTAAAAAAGATCCTCAAACAACACAGGATAATCGTTGAAAAATGATCCTTTTACTAGTCATTGATACCAGTATGTATTGAAACACCTTCTATATACTTTCCTCAAATAAAGATTTATAGAGGGTTGGGAAGGTGGCTCAGTGGTAGAGCGCTTGCCTTGCATGCCTGAGGCCCTGGGTTCGATTCCTCCGCACCACATAAGCAAAAAAGAAAAAAGCCGGAAGTGGCGCTGTGGCTCAAGTGGTAGAGTGCTAGCCTTGAGCTGAAGAGCTGAGGGACAGCGCCCAGGCCCAGAGTTCAGGCCCCACAACCGGACCCCCCCCCAAAAAAAAAGATTTATAGAGTAAAAGTAAATCCATAAATTAGGATTCTTTTTCAAAAAAAATTGTAAACTCAGTCATAAACCACTACTGAATTTCCATGGACTAGCATATACCTGGGTGTACACTGTAGAAACTAGATGAGTTGAAACTTTCAGCAGTGGCTTGCCTCCATCTACCCATTTAATTTCTGGACCATAATGCTGAAAAATAGGGAAAGAAGAAAACAGATTAGCTGTACCTCAGTTTTTAAGATGACCATCAATGAGGGTGCTGATGAGGGAGGGACTGAAATTTCTAAGGGCTTCAATGACTTGATGGCTGTGCCTGGTTGCAACAAGGAATGCAACTAACACTAATTTCTGCCTACTTTCTTTCCCTAACTACAATCGTTTTCTTTTTATTAAGTGTTCTAAGTTATCTGTTCTTTTTAGATGCAGCTGAATGAGCTGCAAGTAAATAGAATGATTTGTTCCCCTATGATAGGGATGCATCCTATTTCCAATATCTTAACCAGATTTGAGCTTAGGTTTCTGAAAAAGATAGGTAGAATGTACCAGATAAAGCAAATAGAGGATAGGTACTTTTGGCATAGGCCTAGGGCCAATCTTCTGTGATTATTTTAGCTTCTGAGAACATCTATATTTTGGCCATGTTCTGACTAGGACTTATAACTGAAAAACGTAGGATTTGTCCTACTTTTTGAGTACTTTTGTGTCCATAATGAACTAAAAATTGGCATTATTTAAACACTGCAAAACATTAAAAGAACAGACTTATCTAAGCATGTTATAAAAAACAGGAGTCTAAAATTCAAGATGATTAAAATAAGTGCAAAGATGACAAATCACTTAGAGAAATAGGAAAAAATATCAGACCTCCATGAGTCAGAAAGATTTCAGAATGTGGGTGAGAAATTTGCTTCCTATATTTACCTTAAACTGGAAGAAAATGCCTAATAGTTGCATAACCCTAAGAACTCATCTTTATTTGAGCATGATGACTTTGCAGAGATGGATTTCTATATAATCCAGTATCTTCAAGTCTCTATTTCCCTGGTAAGGCACTGAATCCACTGAAATTAATTCTAACATATTGTGATAAGTTTATAAGCAGCAGAGGCTTCTAATTGCCTATGCTTACTTGAGAATGAATAATGAAAAACAAAATGTTAGGAATTGCAAAAAATTTTTGTGTGACTATTATTGTAGTTGCTCTTTAATATTTTCTAGAGGAATCAGGATAAACCAATCTTAAAACCCTATACCCTGCCCATGCCAATCTCCTGGTATCCAAGGTAGCCAGATGGAAGATTGGCTGAAACGGGGACATGCTGCTCGTTAGTCACCACCCTTCCATCTTTCAGGAGAGGAAGCCAAGAATATCCAACTGTTGAAAACAAAGAACAAAAAAAATCCACTGTAAGTATATGAGAACTTATAAAAAGAAACTTATTGCAAAACTGAGTTTTAAGAACTGTTACTATTGATCAGAGTAGGAAACTTGAATATGGCCTCTGTAGGTCATTTTCCATATGTACTTTGGCCTCTGTTAAGGTTAGAATTCTAAAAATTTTCACATTCAACCTAGGCATGCTACTTCTATGTTACTTACAAACTTAATGTATAAATCTTTTGCAAAGGATGAATATGTAGAAGCAAAATACAACTTAGGATTGAATATTCAATTTTAAAAAAATCACAGGAATGATGAAATTCCCTACCTTGTGTTTCAACAACATCCTTCTTCTTTGTGCTTCCCTTACTTGAATTATCACAGCTGACGTGGAAGAATGTGAACAACAAGTGGTGCTTTTCATGTAGCTGGGTGGGCAATTCTATCTTAATCTACAAGGAAGACAACATAACAATTCTGCTAACATTCTAAACATTAAAATTTTGGAGAAAGCAGATATTTCATTCAATACATAGATTTGTATTTTGTTCTCCAAACTGTTTTTTACTAATCACACTGTTTTTTTACTAATTGCATTGTAGACTTCTGTCAGGGGAGAGATGGACATGAATTTACTGGCTAGAATTCACAGAATAAAGAGTGATGGGCATTCCAAATATAAAATAATTGGAAAACAATAAACATTCCATAAACGTAACTATGACAAATGAAAATTCAGGGTATGACATTTCAAAGTAAGACTCTTATGACAGTACACTGAACCGCAGTTTACCTCTGAGCAACAGGAGTTTGAACTGTGTACATCCACTTACATGTATATTACCATTTGTTGTTGTTTAAATAAAAAACTGAATTTGCCAGGCCCCAGTGGCTTATACCAGTAATCCTAGCTACTCAGAAGGCTAAGATCTGAGAATCACAGTTGGGGCAGGGAAATTCATAAGATTCTTATCTTCAATAAACTACTCAGAAAAAGCTCTAAGTGTGGCTCAAGTGGTAGAGTGTTAGCCTGGAATGAAAGAAGCTCAGGGGCAGTCCTGAGGCCCAGAGTTCAAGCCCCAGGACTAGCAAAATAACAGAACTCTGAATTTAGTCTAGTCCCTCACGCATGCTAAATACATGATCTACTACTGAGCCACATGCATTCCTATGCAGAATTTTTTTTTGAGATTTACATTAGAAAAAAAAGACCAAGCCGGGCGCTGGTGGCTCACGTCTATAATTCTAGCTACTCAGGAGGCGGAGATCTGAGGATCACGGTTCAAAGCCAGCCCAGGCAGAAATATTCAATAAACCACTAGGAAACTGGAAGTGGTGCTGTGGCTCAAGTGGTAGAGAGCTCTCCTTGAACTGAAGAGCTGAGGGACAGCGCCCAGGTCAGAGTTCAAGCACCGAAACCAATGCGCCCAGGTCAGAGTTCAAGCACCGAAACCAATCAAAAAAAATGAAAAAAAAAAAGACCAACTACATAGCTTAAAATCTGTATTAAAAATAAGAATGAAGACAGATAACCCAGCACCAGTGGTACTACTTGTAATCCTAACTACTCAGGAGGCTGAGATCTGAGGATTACGGTTCAAAGCCAGCCAGGGCAGAAAAGTCCCAGAGACTCTTATCTCCAATTAACTACTCAAAAATCAGAAGTGGAACTGTGGCATATCTTTGAACAAACATTCAGGGACAGCACCCAGGCCCTGAGTTGAAGCCCCACAAAAAAAATTATATTCATATATTATACATACATGTATATGTATATATATGTATATGTACATATACATATATGTATATATAATATTATATACATAGAGAATATATATACAGAGAATGAGAGATATGTATGTCTTGAAGATATAAAGTATACATGAATAACAGTCTATTTTATCAATTATTACTATAAAGGATACAAAAATCTATTGTAAAAAGTTAAAACTTATCAAAACTTATACTTATATGATGCTATCTGAAGTCAAAAGAAATGTGAACATGAAGATGCCATAGCAAATCATAACTGTATAAAATTATTGTAGGATGCACTGTAAATAACTTCCTTGCTACTTCCTGTTGCTACTGCAAGTGAGTTCAAGTGTTTTATGTATATGCTTAAAATGTTGGGTGTCATTTATTATAAGTGTTTATCTTTCTAGTAAATTGTATATGGAAGTAAAAAGTGATCTTTCATGGTTCTCTCATGGGTTTTTACCATATAAAACATGTCTAACATACAAAATATGTGTTAATTGACTGTAAGTCAGTATCAGGCTAAGTAAAGTTTGGAGAAATCAAAAGTTAATGGATTTTTGACTGCTAGAGGGTATATCAGCACCTAAATTTTTCAAAATCCAACAGCACATTATAATTCTAGACAAGAACACCTAGTGATTGAAAAAAAGAGAGATTCAGGTTTAACAAATATAACTATACTCAAATATGAATATGAAAGGAAAATGTCAGAATAAAAATTATATAGGAAGAGTGGAATTATAAGCTTATCTTTTATATTTCATTTGTACTTTCTAAATTACTATTTCTAATAATGAAGATTTTACCTGAATAATTTGAAAAATTTGTAAAATAAATTCTATAGCATTCAACTCCATTGCAGTAATTTCAGTATGGTAGGCAGCTTCCCCTGAATTTTGGTTTACCAAGCAAATAACTTCAAGTTTCCCTTAAAACTGGCTAAACTTGGTTATCCCTCAAAAATATCACTTACTTCATCATAAAATTCTGGGTTTTGGTGGTGGTGTAAAACTGCAGCAAAGGCGCTTCTGGTGAATACTGGGCCTCCAGGTCTGCCATAAATGCACTAAAATGAGAATCAGCAGGGGCAAACACCTGGGTTTAATTAGTGGAGCAAGATGTTATATAGAAAGTGGTACTCTTACAGAATAATTGTCACATAGCAAACTTAGCTAGATTTCTTCTGCAAGGAGATTCTAGGCTTTACTGTGGCTGTCACTGCACATCTGCAGGCCCGCTTGCCAACTCCCCTTGCCACACATCTCCATGCCTAGGTGATGTCTTACTGTTTCCTTTAACTTCTCTCCACTTTTGCTTTACAATCTCTCTATTCAAATGATCTCATGTGCTCTTCAGGAAATTGCTGATTCCTTCCTCTCTATGTCCTCTAAATATTTTTCTATGATAATTATTCAGTTTTTGTTTTCTTCTCCAAAGAACTATTTCAGTCCCTTCTGTGTGCCAAAATTCTGTTCTCTGTGACTGCTGTGTTTCTCACTAATTTTCTTTTCTTTTCTTTTCTTTTTTAATGGTACTGGGGTCTGAACTCAGGAACTTAAGCTTGCCAGGCAGGCTTTCTACTACTGGGCCTGCTGGAGGCTCACTTCTTGTGTGGACATGCACCTGGTCTGATCCACCTACTTTATCACAGCTGGGACGACAGATGTGTACCACTAAGCACTGAGATGAACTCTTGTTTTTTCTTTTTGTGGTTTAGAACCACAATCCTTCCAATCTCAGCATACTACATAGTTTAGGATGACAGCACTGTGCCCAGAAATGGGTTAAGAAGTAGTCCCATGAACTTTGCTGCCTAGGCGGCTACAATCTTTCCACTCTCCCAAGTAGCCTACCAAGTAGCTAGGATTACAAGCATGAGCCCTATGTGCCTGACTCTTGTAAACTTCTTATGGGTAAATATATTCCTTTTTGAATCTTCAGCCCTTCTTAGAAAGCCATTTTAACATAGTAGAGAATTTGGTCTCTAGAGCTAGACTGACTAGATTTACATCAAGATCTACTAATGTGTGATCTTGAACCATTTGTTCACTAGTCTCCTTATCTAAAAAAATATGTATCTAACTAGTGCTTAACTCAAAAGACTGTTTCTAGATTCAATAATCAAAAGTACACAGAAGACCAGTATCTAGACAATTCAATAAGTTCTACTATTACTCCTACATTACCCATTTAATAAAGATCAACTGTTGCTAGTTTACCAGTCCACTATCAATATTATTCATATCAGAATTATTAGTCATACAATGCTTTCCTCATAAGGGTGCAGTGTTTATTAAATTGAATATGGATAAGAAATTTCATCTTGAAAGGGGTGATATTGATCAAGATGTATTGTACTTGTAAACTGATTTTTTGAATTGTAACTTCTTTGTATGACTACTTAAATAAAAATATAATAAAAATTCATTTCTAAGGAACATAACACAATGGTCAATTATGTATAGAACATAAGTATTCCATATTCTGTAAGATTCAGAAGATGTGCTTTTATAGTGTAACATCATATATTTTTGGCTTGTATCAATTAGAATATACCAAATTTCTTTAGTTGTACAATACTGTGCAGTTGTACTTTTAAAGAATATATTAGTGAATATACATGAAAAAAAACAAACCTTCAGGGGCTGAGAGTCTTCCTCATCTGCATCTTTAAATTCAATGCAAATAGCGATATTCCTGGCCTACAAAATATTTAAAAGAAAAAGCAATAAGAAAATACTAGCAAAAGTCAGAATATGTATCTATGTATAAAAGAACATATGAAACTGAATCCTAAAGGAGTTTGATATAAAGACTGAGATTGAGATCTTGGTACTCACCTTGGCGAAAGACTTCTGACTGTCATATTTCAAGTACTTAGGATAAACGTAAAGATGGTTGTTGTAGACAGTATAAGGCTGAGTATGTTTTGGTATGCAGGGCACAAATTCTTCAACTTCAAATGTGATTGGAATTTTAGTACAGGTTTCAAATTGCTTCATGGGAATGTATGATGAATTGACATAATCTGAGGACATTCAAAATAATCCAAACTGAAGGAAAGGCCAACTAAACAACAAAATTCTGTCTCTTTGTAATACAGAAGTTATACTTACTAGGGAATTCTGAGGAAACATTATCAATTGTAATGTCCAGATTGCCTAAAATCACTGGGAGTTTAGCCATCTTCTCAGGTCTACAAACAAAAGAAGAAAAAAAATCAATCAATTAGATTAACAGTGAAGCCTACAGTCTGGAGTGATAGTTCAAGAGAAGAGCATGTCACTATAACATATACTACAAAAACTATTTTAAACCTTCTAGTGATAGAAACAAGTTAAAAAAACCCAACATCATATTTTATTTAATACAGGAGAGCCAAAATATTTCTGTACATACCAATACAATAATGTGAAAACTAAAAGTTTTCAAAACCAGGTGTGTATTTTGTACATATTTTCTATAATCCTCCCCACCCCTTTAAAAAATTTTAGAGGTACTATGGAATCCACTGAACTCAGAGCTTCAGTCTGCTAGGTAGGACAGATGCTCTACCATGTAAGGCATGTTCCCAGCCCTTTTGCTTTAGCTATTCAGATGCAACTGGACCAACCTGTATTATGATCCTTCTACCTATGTCCAGTTAGGACCAAAGACATGACCACTACCACACAGCTTATGTGATATGGGGGGGGGGTCCAGTCGTGGGGCCTGAACTCGGGTCTGGGTGCTGTCCCTAAGCTCTTCAGCTCAAGGCTAGCACTCTACCACTTGAGCCACAGCGCCACTTCCAGCTTTTTTTTTCTTTTTGCTTATGTGGTGCTGAGGAATCAAACCCAGGGCCTCTTGCATGCAAGGCAAGCGCTCTACCACTGAGCCACCTTCCCAGCCCCCCTGCTAACTTTTTTGGGGGCCTGAGTTACTTGAATAGGGATCTTCCCAATATCCGCCTTCCAAATACTTTTGTTTTTAGGCATATGCCACCACTTTTGACCCAGACTTCCTATATTTGAAGTGCTCAATAGTCAAATATGGCCAGTAGCTACCATGCTACAGGACAGGTTTAGATGAAGAGTATTGGCAGACTTGTTAATATATTCCCATATGACTCCAGCATTCCCACAATTGCATGGAGTATTTAGAATCATCAGCATTTGGAACCAGAAATCATCTTTGGCTCCAGTAGCTAACAAAATGCTAGGTACAGAGTAAGTACTCAATGAAATTGTTGTCTGCAATTGGTCTGATCCAATCCAATACAGGAATCTCCCCTGTCATCCCTCACAAAGGCTGTTACTGGTGCCAAGGAAATCTTTAACACAGCTATTCTAATACTACACAGCTCTTTCTCGTAGCAGGGTAAAATTCACTCCTCTATAGTTTCTGTTCATCAAGGGGCCTAGTTATAACCCTCTTTTAATCACCTAGAGCCACCATACAGAAGTCCTCCACTATTAGCACTTTTAACAATGCCACTTTTTTTGCAATGTCACTTGCCTTCTAGAAGAATGTAGTGCTTAGACTTGCAGAGTAGTCAGGCATAGTATAGTCTGACCAGGCGGGATAGTTTCTGTCCAGTTTGAGCAACAAGTCATCTACTAATGCAGCTAGAATGCCATTACTTTTAGTAATCACACCATCCCACTGAACCACATTAAATCTATAATTGTTTAAAATCTCTAAGGCTATTTTCACATGCTTTACTATCATGTAACACCTCTATGCCCTATATTTATACAATTCTGTTCTTGAAACTTAGAATGGGATTTTATTGTTGGAAATTTCACATTTTATGTTCAAGTGATTTATAGTTGGCCCAAATCCTCAAAATCCAGGTTCTAAAACCTAGTGCATTAGGTATACCTAACAGCTTTATATCTGAAGACATTTAATTAGCAGCTTATATTCTCATAAACATCATCGATTAAAATATTATATTGCATAGAACAGTGCCAAGAACAGGCCATTCTCAAATCACCAGAGGCCCATTTCTAGATGGACTCTAAACCATTAGTCACTCTTCCTGAAATCTGGTTACTCAGCAACTACACTATTCATTCACATGTGCAAGACTTTTCGGATTTGTTCATATGGTCTTATAGTATACACACAAGATACAAATATTGTGACAAGGGCTCTGCTGTCCTCTACTGCCCCACCTAGCAAGCCAATTTAAGAGGGAGGAAATCTGAGTAGGGTGACTAGTTCTACATGACATGACCTATTCTGACAGAACAGAACGCCACCACATGGTTCTTCAGAAGCCACCTGTTCAACCAGTTCTTTCAGAGTATTGCCAAGGACCATCAAAGTTTAGTGACCAACAGATTCAGCCTTTGGTTAGGTTCCTACCTTAGAAAAGTTTCCACCCTCTGTTTTTTTGTTTTGATTTTTTGTCAGTCATGGGGCTTGAACTTGTGGCTTGGGCACTATCCCTGAGCTCTAGTGCTCTACCATTTTGAGCTACAGCACCACTTCTGATCTTCTGGTGGTTAACTGGGGATGAGTCTCATGGACTTCCCTGCCTAGGCTGGCTTTGAACTGTGACTCTTAGATCTCAGCCTCCGGGGTAGCTGGGATTACAGATAAGAAACACCAGTACCCCGCATCTCCCCTGGTTTAAATCTCCTCTGACTTTACTGATGTCTGTTTCATAGTCTCACATGCAACATCTGAGTACATCTTAGAATCTTGTGCATTTGAATCAGTATGTCTCTAAAACGTCTTAACTCTTGCTTCCTTATGACCAAAGGCTATGTTTGGTTGATCAGTGCTGGCTTGGTTCATCACCAACTCTAAGCTGTAGAATCTCATTCTCTCAGGATATCTCATTTCCATTTGTCTTCTATTTCTACTGGAGCTTAACTGCACAATGAGTTTAAATGAGAGATGAGACTGTCAGAAAAGCCAGCCAGTGATTTTTCACATACTCTACCTTAAGTTAAAAAGACTTATGACCAAGAAATCTCCAGATAAAACCCAGCATTACCCTGTATTTTGCCTGTTTCCACAACATGAGATGTTGTGATACCTTTTAGCTGGGAGACATCAGCGGTGGTTTCTCAACAATCACTTCCCTGAGAGATTTTCACTGTCTCCCAAGCAATGCAAACTACCAGAATAGCATTTCCCTACATTTGGCTCTTTAGGGAAACCGACCCTTAAATGCATGGATTTTATACAGTTATAAATTCTCTTAGCTAGGCACTGGAGGCTTCTACCTGTAATCCTAGCTACTCAGGAAGCTGAGATGAAGTATGTTTTGAAACCACTTGTGAAAAAAAGTATGGGATACTCTATCTCCAATTAACCAGCAAAACAAGAAGATTAGAAATGTGCTAAAGTGGTAGAATGCTATTCATGAATAAGAAAGCTGGGCAAAAGCGAGAGGCCAAGAGTTCAAGTCTTTTGGTAATAGTACAAAATTAACAACTAATAACTAACTTCTGTGTGTGTGTGTATGTGTGTGTGTGTGTTTGTCTATGTGTCTGTCTGTCTGTCTGTGTCTGTGTGGTGTGCGCACGTGTGCATGTGAGCCAGTCCTGGAGTTTGAACTAAACTCAGGGCCTGGGTGCTGTCTTTGATATTTTTTGTTCAAGACTAACACTTTACCACTTGGCTCTACCTCTGGCTTTTTGGTGGTTAATTGGAGATAAGAGTTTCACAGACTTTCCTGGCTGGGCAGATTTCAAACCACAATTCTTGTATCTCAGTCTCCTAAATAGCTAGGATTACAAGCTTGAGCCACTAGTGCCTGTCTTAACTAATTTCTTTTGAACAATTGAACACTGTAATGTCCCATAAAACATTGTGTTATACAAAAATATTAGAGAGACCTATGAAGGTGTACACTGTTTCCTTAAGTTAGAAAATGTTCATTTATTACAAACTTCACTGTTACATGTAAGAACCTAAGACAAAAATAATGTCTCTGACCCTATCCCAGTTATTTTCATCTAGGAGTAAATGGTATCTTCATCATTAAAAAAAAAAAAAGAAGAACCGTTGTTTTAAGTCACTTGGTTTATAGTAGTTACAGAAATCCTAGGCAACTGAAACACACACTAATATAGGAAAAGTATTTACCATATATATGCAAAATATTATGTATTTATATTCTACATATGTGTCATATATATATATGGAAATAAGATAATAAAACCCACTAAAACTGTTTTAAAAGTAGGAGAGTTAAGAAAGTGTAACATAGACGGGGATTTGATTAAAGACCATTATATACATATATGCAAATATCACCACGAAAACCTTTTATAAAATTAATTTACACTAACTTAAATTTTAATTTGTTTTTTTTCTTTTTTCTTTCTTTTTTATTTTTGTCCCTCATGGAGCTTGAACTCAGAGCCTAGGTGCTGTCCCTGAGCTCTTTTGCTCAAGGCTAGTGCTCTACCACTTTGAGCCACAGTGCCACTTCCAGTTTTCTGCTGATTATAAGAGGCTCACAGGGACTTTTCAGCCTGGGCTGGCTTCGAACCACAATCCTCAGATCTCAGCCTCCTGAGAAGCTAAGATTATAGGAATGTGCAAGCAGCACCCGGCTAGAAAGTTGTTTTTTTTTAAAGTACTATGTAAATTATGAAATGTCTCCCTAACCTCTCATTTGCTAAAAAGGATCATCTCACAAATCAGAAACCTAGGAATTGTTTATTTTTGATGACTTTTAATCAGGAAACCAAGACTTAGTAATTGTGCCCACTTCCTATTTCTTCTTGCAGGGGCTTTTCAAAAAAAGTATTTTTGTTATTGTTAAGCAGTTGTACAAAGGAATTGCCATTCACCAAAGCAGTTTATGACTATAGTGCATCTTGACAGGTCAAGACACACTTTCAATGTTCTTACCCATACCTCGTAACCCACCCATTTCCTCATTTTTCTTCATTTTTGTTATGCAATGAGTTTTTTTGCCATTTAACAAAGCAGTTTGTGTATATAATGCATCTTTTTTTTTAACTTCTACCAAGATTCTTTTATTAAAACAATATTTTTGTTATATTTAAGTAGTTGTACCAAGATTCTTGAAATGGACTTTTTTTTTCTTTTATTCATTATTTTTTTTTAATTTTATTTTATTTGTGAACATACTGTACAGAGGAGTTACAATTACATGGGCAGGATAATGCGTACATTTCTTACCAAGCATTGCAGCCTCCTCCTTTGTTTACCCTTCACATCCCT